TGCCTAAGCTAAATACCACATTAAAATCAGATGAATGACTTTTAACACCTTATATAAAAGAAAACAGTAACTTATACCAGTGGAAGAGGGCTTTAAAAATGTGGAGTAACCCTTCCATTCTCATATAATTTATTGACCACAATGGTTTTGACAACCCTATGCTTAGCTTACCGTATTTGTCACGTGTGCAAATGTTCTTGATTATTCCACTGGAACAGTGAATATATAGTTGCAGGTAGGGAGTGGAGCAACTAAAACCATCTCAAGGAGATGATCTTGATTTCAGAATGCTGTATAACTGGGAAATCATTGCACAAACGCTGCCATTTTAAATGTGCAGTAAATGTGTTCTGGTTACAAAGAGAAAGCTTAGAATTTAAAGATGAAAGACCTGGGAGAAACAAAAAGTTAATGGCCACAGATATCAGTCAGTTGTATTGAAAAGGGAAGTTCTCAAGTTGTCATCATTTTTCAACTGTTTGACAGTTTGGGGGTGCAAAAACCTTAGCTAAGCTTAAGAGAGAATTTCTGTTGGGTAAAATGCAAATGGGATGTGGAGAATTGAAATAGAAAATGTGATGCTTGCATTGCAAAAATAAATGGACCCCTTAAGATAAGAAGGATTCCTCTATGCAGCATTACCTAGGATACAGGGGTGCCGAGTGCAACTTGCTGCTGTGGGTGCACATGGGCCTTTACATGAAACACAGGCTGGCAATTAACATTTATTGGCAGACCCTGAATGACGTTGGCCAACTCTTCACATCAAAAGTTTAACGCTACCTCTATTTTTTCTGGATATATCTTTATTTGTTCTAGATAAAAAGAACCTGTGCATGAGGAAGATGACAATTTCAACTAAAAGTCTTATGTCCTTTGATGTCTATACTGACATTTTGCCTGGATAAATGTCAGTGGTGCACCATGATCTCAGAAGAAGCAGTAACTATCAGACCTGTCTGCAACAGGGGTCTACTTGCAAGCACAGAAGACAACCCACATTGTGGTTTAAATAAACTACTCAGCTTCTAAACTTTACTTTTTACACAGAAATGCAAAGGCATTAGGAACAGATAAACAAGTCTTTCTGAGCCAAGCAGGATCTTCTCATTGCTATCCTGAAAATGGATCCCTGTATTAACTCCATACAGTTTTAATGCACAAATGCTACTCTCCCTGTGGCAAACATGGGCCCCTGGCACACATTCATTTAAAGATACAATGCGAGAAGGTATGATTCTGGGATCAGGGAATCAGATCCCAGTCATGCCCTTTCTATCTGAAAGATCACTGGCAAGTTGAAAGCCGGGTGCTCGGATCCTGGTATGGCCTAGGGATGTCTCAGAGCTGCAGCCATTTGTGGGCTTCCTCCAGGGAGTTTAAACCCTGCTCCTAGCAGCACCGGTAGGGCTTCTGGGAATGGGGAATCAGATACTCCTGGAAGTGTCAGATTCTTGGTTTTCCATGCCAGGGACTTTCAACCATGAACACAGGGTTTAAAGTCACTGGTAGGAGAAACCCTTCAGCTCCCCCTGCTGGAAGCCTGTGATCTACTGTCCCCTCACTCCCCACCCCCATTTATTTGTGGCTGCCCATGCTGTCTGTCCCAGGAAGCAAGCAAGGAAGGGTTAACTTGCATGGCCAGGTACTGCTGCTGCTGTCTGGGTGGGCTCTGCTTGGAGAAGAGCAGCAGCTCAGCAACAGTGGTGGTAGTAGCCAGTCAGGCAGGTTAATCCTTCTCTGTCTGCTCCTTTGGGACAGACAGCATGGGCAATCCAAATGTAAATGGGAAGAAATGGGGACAAGCGGGAGTCATAGGGGTAGGGGGAAGTCCAAAATGGGAGGAGGGGGGGTATTCTTACTTTTCAGTCCCCTAGGCCCCTGTTGGCCTGAAGTGTGACTGCTCCAAACTCAAGCTATTGCTAACACTGATCAATATTTGTGTGGCTCAGCGTAACATGTAACAAGGCCCTGAAAGTACATGGCTTGTTCTTTTAGCAGGGTATCTAGATCAGGTCAGCAAATGTTGTGTATATGCCTATGCTTTGCACATTCTTTGCTATATAACTCACCGGTGTTATAAAACACCGGTAAAAGACCAGGGCATTCTTTGATGCCTGAAGAATCCTAAAGCCATCAATTATATTTATAATGTATACAATGCATAGGAAAAATGTATACAGTGGGTGCGTCCAGACGAGATGCTAACTGCACATTAGCATGCCAAGCAGAAACCATGCTAATACACTACTGTGCAGTTAATGTCCAAAAAAACCTGTACCTATGCTACTGTGCAGTAGAGCAAGTTACTGCACACTGATTTAGTACTTGGTTATCCAAGTACTAAACATAATGTGCAGTAACTAGTGCATATTCATGAACTTTAAAGTCTTATGGATTCTCTCCAAGTTAGGAGACAATGCATAATATAAGCAGTTTCTTTGCAAAATTCTCCTTTAATTTTTTGAAGCAAAAAAACAAATTTTACCTCAGGGTTTATTTCTCATTAAATGAAGTAATTAGCTATCAGGGGTTACAGTGATAATGAATTAATATCATAGTTGAATTGTAGTTTTAATACAAATTAAAACATTTAAACTTTCTAATTAGGAATTTTATTTTTAAAACATTTAGGTTACCTTAAGTTCATAGCTAAATGGTTTAATATTACAATTGGGAAACGATCTGTTTCTTGCACTGCAGACTTTAGCATGCATAGTGTGTGGCTTTTTTGTTTGTGGTTTCCATTTCACTTTGAAAACATACAGTATTGTGTATCCACACACAAAATAAGCTCACTGGAAATTTGTTAATATTTAGAAAAATCTACCCCGAGAAGAAGAGTATGATTTTTGTGGGCTAGTCTCACATAAAAGAGGCATGTGAATTGGGATGAGTTTAAAAAAAATAAAATTACTGCAAATATACAGAAAGGTCATTTGCTGCCAAGAAAGAATATTGTTAAAAAAGCAGCCATTTTCTAAGCCTCTTTTTCTGTTAGATGTAGAATGGATGAAAAGGAGAAACAACCTCAGTCAAAACACTAGAGTCTCTGGGTATTTGTTGAATGATAATTAGGATAACTAATTTAATAAAACAAGAACAGTCCAGACCTTTCTCCCTAATCTGATGCTAAATCTATGAGCTTTGCACGTGTGTGTGTATAGTTAGAATTCCTGTTTCAGCTCCAAAATGAAAAGGAAAAGTTCAAGGCATTCTCCCACTGGTTTCAACCTCACTGGGAAAAGCAATAATTCATATATAGGACTCTTTATTGTCAAGGCTGTACAGAGACACTCTACCAACATGACTGTGAGGTGGGTAGGCAGGTACATATTAATGTTCAAGGATAATGAGCTGAGGCTCAAGACAGGGAAGAACGAAGGTCAGAGTGAAGCAGTTGATTAAGGTTTGGTGGGGTCAAAGATAGGAACAAGATTAAAAAGGACAAAGATAAGGTCTTGCTAGACGTGGGAAGGTTTATAGCCCTCTAATCAGGGGCTCTCATTTGTCCACTCAGGTCACCTGGTTCTCCCATGATGACCTCATTTGAGGGTACAGAATAAGCTGGGGCTGGCAAGTAGCCAGCAGTTTGGTGATACCCTTGGGGGTTTGACACCCACTAGATGGATTAGCATGTGGCCCACCCTGCTCAGGAAGGACACAGTGGAGTAATTTAGAGTTACTAAATAATGGATCCTGAACTGGTTTTATGACATCTCCAGTCTCCTTTCCTGAATCGACAAGTAACCTAGTGTGGGAGAGACTCTGGCTTTAAAATAAAGTTATGGGGAAAATGGAATGTCCATCCTGCAGAAACATCTAATGTTTTGGATTGGGTTGGGATAGAAAATATCAAAATACCGATTTATTTGTGGAATGAACATTTTGAAAACATCTCACTAGAAAATAATGAAAAGTTTCCTGATGGCGTTTTTAATCAAAACAAAATGACTTTATACCCTTAAGCTGAAAGAGTTCATTTAAGTTTGTCCAAGTGGCACAAAACCTTTCAACCTCAGAAATGAATTTCTCTATGATGGCATGTTGCTTCACAGATGATGTAGTTTGGACCTGATGTCCCCATTTCTATATGCCGCTCCCTAGCAAAACTACATCTCCTACTGTATTTCTGCAGCCAAATGACTCCCATAATGCACCTTTCTGCTCAGAGAGGAGTCTGAGCTGCATCCTGGGAGATACAGTTTAGCCAGGGGGGAAAGTGCGGAAGACAGATGGGGAGCCTAAAGTACAATAGCCAAATAGCTTAAACATCAAGTAGACACAGCTGGTTCCCCAAGAGATGTTGGTCATGGGAGTGCTCCAAAAGTCAATGGAATTCCAACAATGTGCACCAAATAAGAATTGGTCCTTTATTTGATATCATGATAGATAGCTGGATGATGGCATACACAGAGAGGAAAATATTTCTACTTTATGTGTTAAATGACAGTATTTTCAGCATGGGTATTGAGATGGATATTGACCTTTATTCCTTTTCTTTCCACTGGTAGTTTGCAAAACTCTGCATTGAGAGCTCTGCATCTGAAATAACACCAAAGTGTGGGTGCGTGTTTGGGGGGGGAAGGGAAAGAGAGATTCAGAATGGTGCATTGTCCCTGTTAAATTTTAACAACAGGAAAGTGCAATTAGGTTTTCATCATCAGAGAAGACATGCTTAATCATGCTTAAGCAAACCAGGTTAGATGCATAACTTTCATTTGATGATATGAAAACAGTTGATCCATGTTTCAACAGAAGTCCAGGTCCTCTCGGTGGACTGGAAAAGCAGAAATTGTTCCTCCACAATTTACTTAGCATGTTCTTTCGCTACGAACTTACATGACTCTTGTAAGGTCAAGTAATGGTCTTGAGTTGTGTTAACATTTACAGCACTTCATATAGGGGTAAATAAATGAGTAAACGTTGTAATAATTTAGGAAACATGGCAAGAAGGGTTTGAGATTTGGTTGGTTTCTTGGCCATGTCTTTCTGCTCACCTCCTTCGGGCTTGACTGGTCCATCTGACATCACTTTCCTGAGGGCTAGTTGGCTTTGGTCTTTGTTGTCATTGGCTGGTGGAGGCAGATTGTCAGACTGAGTTCTTTGAATTGGGAGGACTCCTGCTATGCTGTGTCTGTGCTGCTTCCTGGCATGATTAGACTGACCGCTTTTATGTGCTGCTGTGGCAGTGTGGGTGAAATGGAAACCCAGAGTATGTATCCTCAGATGGAACCAGCTTAAATGTTATTCATGCAAACAGAAGTGTTCTTTTCTGTATTTAAATAAGTAGTGTTTACAAACACCAGAGACATCACATGCACAGCATTAAAGGGGAATTAAAACTGGCTGTTTCTTTATTAATGATGGTAAAGACAAGGGAAATATTTTTTCCCCGTTTTTTGCTTTAAACAACAATGAATTTATGGCACACCAACAAACACTGAATACAAACATAATGAGTCCATGGCTGGAAGGTTTTAATTGGTCAGCAACTAAATCCTCAACCAGTTATAAGGTGCAGCTCTCAATTTTGTTTTGAAGCCCTGCCATTTTGGATGAACATGTTGTAATCTGTTAATTGTTTTGAAGCTGCCAGACAAATACTATCTTGACCCTAAATCAATCTGTGGCATAAAGTAATTATGAAAATTGAATCCACTATAGCAACTAAGTTAGTATAGTCCAAAGAGAGGTGAATAATAAGTTTTCCCACAATCTCCTTGTTAAAAGTCTTGTGTATTTACTGTCAGCCTGTCTCTCAGCAGCACTTATTTACCTGAGATGTTATATGGAGGATGTTGCTTTGGATCAGCCTTTCCTCCCATGTAGCTCTCCTGATTGTTTTCTCAAATTAGTATCTTCCTGTTCTTGTTCTCTCAATGAATAGTGTGCATGAGTCTTGGAAAGTTGACAGCCACCTATCTCACCATTTTGATTATTTTCAGTGGTTGAGTTTTTTTAGCAACTCCAAAACAACACCAAACACATGAATGAAGTTTCCATGAGTCATACACAGCTATGGAATGTCATGGACCAGGGATGGACAAAGTGATCAAGAAACAGCCAGTTCCACTGAAGTTTATATTTATATATTTAAAAAAAAAGACTTTGAAATAGGATACTATTGAACTTATATGTATTTAAAGACATGTACACACACACACATAAACACAAAGAAATACTTTGACTAGAGTGAGCACAGTGTGCCAAGAATGAAAAAAAAGAAATAGCAAAAAGGGGAAGGACAGCAGGGGAAAAGGCAACAGATGAACATTAAGCTGCCATGCTGAGGAATTTATTTGCGTCTTTTACTTGGTTGGAGGCGAAGCTGTTGGACAGCTGCTTCAGCAGCGGCGATTGCTGCCCCAGCATCTTCAAGGTGAGTTTGAGTGACGCTGGTTTTGCTTTGGCTGCGGGATGGTCCATGAGAGCGTAGATGTCCTTCAGAGGAAGATTTGGAGCTCCCTGGACTACTGTGGGATTTTTCAATGGTGGGCACCTGCATGTCTGGAAGGAAAAGGATAAGTATAAGCATTATGATTATTAAAAAACTCTCTTGAAGATATATAGTATCTGTAGGCAAAGTCCTAAACAATGCATGACGTGTAGTCCTAGTCCTAAGTCTCTATATCTGAGAGACTCCCTTCTGATACATGGTTCCCTCCCTCTTCCCTGTGGCTCTGTGATTCTATATGACTAGTTAATTTAAATCCATTTCATTCAGCCGAGTGTGGTGCCATCCATGAGTACAGGTAGTTAGTCATGTTAGTCTGAAGTCAGGCAGAAGGCAGAACGAGGTGGCATCTTTAAGACTAACTGGCTCAGAGAGGCATAATCATATCTGACAAAGTAGGCTGTTGCCTACAAAAGGTTATGTCTCATTGAACCAGTTTGTCTCTAAGGAGCTACCCTGCTCTACTTTCTGCTTAACTCTAGACTAGAACAGGTAAGCACTGCTCTCTAGTAATTAATATGACATATTTCATGCTGGTCCAACATTGCTCAGTTGTTAACTAATGAACAAAATCAAGGGCTATCCCACTTCCTGCCCTTCTACCACCTTACTCCATAAGAGGACATTCTTGGTATACTTATGTTTGGTTATGTGCCCCAATAGACACGTTCCCAAGCTTGCTCTGCCACTCCTTTCCCATTCACTTGTGCCACACCTATGCCAAGCAGATTTGGAGGGAAGGAAGGTATCCAGTTCTGCTGACCCCACTGTACTCCAAGCCACAAAGTGACTGCAAGCCACTTTAAGTTAGACCCCTAACTTCCTCTGATTTAGTCATAAGACATTACTAGCCTTGTAATTAAGCAGTGCACTGAAGGCTTTTATCACCAGAAGACCATCCTGTCATTTGCTATTGTCATCTGGTCTATTTTGGTACTGCTCCTTCCCATGGTCATTTCTTGCACTGAATATGCTGTACATGCACATGTGTACAGGCATTCAGTTTCTACAAGGTAGAAACTACAGGTGTACATTCTCCTGGATCAAAAATGGCCATTTTGAGAAAAATAACCTGACTCCAGCCAGTTAGAAGTCCCTTTCAGGAGTGTTCCTCTCAGGAGAATGAATATCTGCCAATTTTCTCCATCTTAACTCCCCCTAGAGACCAGGAAAAGTGGACCTGGGGAGAAAGGCTTCAGTGCCTTCCTGAGACCCTGGAGTCTGCAAAAAGCATGGGCAGCAGTTGCTGCAGCTTCTCCAATAGACCAGGAAGGGAGGGAAGGAGCAGCCACTAGTTCTTCCCTTTTGGCTCCTCACAGAGGGGATTATCAGTGTGAGAAGAGAAGAGAAGAGAAGAGGGGCTTTCCTGTCTCCAGGATCTCTGGTGTAAAAAGCAGGTAGGGGGCCTGCCTTTCCCCCAAACAGGGTGGTCCCTGGTTTCAGGAAGAGGCAAGAAACTTTGCTGCTTCCCTCTGGCTTCCCATTGCCTCCCTGCTGTGCCACTGGGCATTGGGGCAGCAATTAAAAAGCCAGAGGCTGAAACGTGGACACTGGACCAGCGTACATTTTCCCTAAATTAGGATCCTCCCAGGTTCAGCAAGGCACAAGGAGCAGGGGTGAAGTGATGACTGTAGACAAAACATTAGCAGTACTGCTCCCTTTCCCAGATTTTCCTCCACTACAAATGCATGTTTGTGCACTGCCTATGTTTGCCAGTTAAGTTGCTGGGCAACTTAGGAAATGCTGAACTTGAGTGTCCTCTCATTTGCACAAGTGTAATTCTATTAAACTGCACCAGCTCCCCTAGTTTTGGTGGGGCTTCCTCTGACTGACAGTGTAAGTGGGATAAACTCAAGCCTGCTACCTTTATAAATTCAAAAGTTTATTCTGACCATATCAGAGGACAAATGGTTAAAGATTGGCATAAAAGATCAAAGACAGCACATCATCAAGTATGAAATGAAGATAAAAATCTGAAATGGTATATGTCCGTATTGACATTTATTCAAGGATATTAGGCAAACGAAAAGTGCTATGGAATTATTAACAGCTATGCAAAACATGTGGGATGTTACTTTTAAGATCTCATGTGGATGACACAACACCCAATAAACTGCATGGTACCCAAAGCTCAAACCAGTTTAGGCATAAACAGATGAAATCACTGTGTAGCGCTACTGAACTTCACTTTTAAGAAATGTATATAGAAAATGTACGCCAGTCACTGTTTTTCACAGAAACTTGAAAATCACAAAAATATTCTCCTCTGTTGACACTTTCTGTTGCCTTCCTGGAATATTTTCCATCCCTCTTATGTAAAATCATTCCTACCCTTGGACGGATCTGGGAAGATTCCATGGCTTCTACTTTTGATGACCGATGGCTTTGGTGATTGCTGGCTACTCTGTCCAGAATGGGATTTCCCATGATCGATGCTTTCGGTCTGTTCCTTCAGAAGGTACCACCGTGGGGTGTTGTCAAGCTGAGATGTGCTGGATAGCTCAATCAATACCTGCACAATGACATATGGTATATCTGATTTAAAATATACAGTGATATAAGATGACAATCTGATTCACTAACACTAATGTATACCAGAAGTAACTCTACTGAAATTAATAGTTGCACATACTTAAAACTTACAAGGATAAGTCAAGAATCAGGCACCATTTTTTTCCTGTTATTTTATTTCTTCTTTCAAGTGAACATAAAATGGCAAACGACTGCATATTTGTTGTTAAAAAGCACTGTCTGATGTAAAATGAAGCTGAAAGGCTCTTGATAAATATTTTCAAATATTTACATATGTAATATTTTAACTTGGTTAAAAATGGAAGACAGGGAGTTTAAGATATCTTGCAGAAGTGAGAGAACACGTCTTTTTCATCTCTTAGGAACAGAACTGCTTCTGTCTTGTAGAATTCAAAACTGATAGAGAGAGGAAAGTGATTCCTAGGGACCGTAAGAGTGAGAGGGGCTCTCGGCAGACAAATGATGTGGCCACGTTCCTCTGACTGCCCAGCCTTCTGCTCTGGACCACTTGCACTTGTGGCAAAAATGTTGGAAACTTTTAGAAAAAAATAGCACAGAAAAGGAAAGCCCATTTAGGAATTAGCTTGTGGCTAAGTAAAGCCCTTTGCTACTTACCTGAGATGCAGTAAAGTCAGAGGCCTGCAGTGGCAAGAAATAGAGGGCACTGAAAGGGAGTGGAAGCCAGGCAGCACAAGAGAACCCACATATAGCAAAGTTTGGTAGACAGCCTGTAACTTTAGCATTTGAAAACAGGACAGCAATGGGCCTCAGCTGCCAGGTAGTTCTCAGTATGCCAAATCTGACAGGACCTGAGGGAACACTGCCAGCAACAAGGAAGGGGAACCCCACAACACAGAAATCCTCACTATGTCTTCTTGCAGAGAAGAGGAAATATAGGCAGTTTGCCACAAGCTTTTCCTATCCCTAGAATGCACTGAGGTCATAAAGGGCATTAAAAAGGGAGAGCCAGGGGTGCAAAGAGTAGATTGTAATAAGCTTGCAAATCATTTATGAGCAAGAGATACCCATCTTACAGATTTCCTAGGTTGAATGCACACCATAGCTGTAGAGCATTATGCAAATGATAAAAGCCATAGTTATTTGGGAACAGAAAAGGGGCTGTGGTTAGGATAGAAGTTTGGGCCATGTAGTCTAGGAGCAAAAGCCTCAGATGTCTACAAAGGCCTTTTTTTGAGGAAGGCCTCTTATTCCTAGAAAGATTCATGAAAAACTGTTCCCACAGAGAAAAAAAAGAGCACTGAAATATACATCAAGGTCACCATGTTGGCCTCTCAAGGCTTAGCTCGGGACTGGCAGAACCTGACTTCATGGCACCCTCCATCCTCCCTGCTGAAACTGGGCCCATGTTCTGGGAAAGAACAAAAGATGCACGGGGTCAGAAGAACAAGCAAAGGCATCATAACTGTAGCCCAGTGGTTAGTCATCACCCTTAGGTTCCAGTCCTTGCTTCAATGATTATTTTTTGTGTGTGTGTTTGCTTTTTGAACCCAATGACTACCTAATAATAAAATCCATAAACAGTCCAGGCAGCATGGATCTGAACCCTTCCCGGGGAATACCTTAGTTTCTAGGTTACAGTCAGATGCCCTCCTGCAGAACAGAAAAACATGCTTTCCTTTAGTTTCCATATTCCTTGACTTGGTCTCTTTGAAGTCCTTTGAGCAGTTTCTTCACTTGCCCTTAAAGACATCAGGCAACGACAAATGACCTAAGTTACAGATTGACTGTAACACAGTCTGATAGTGTAGGCCTTCTTTAGGCTAAATGCTACACCTTAAATATACTTACCTGCATGTGCATGCTGGCAATCTCTACACTAGGAACTGCTCTCATATTTACATTTCAATGAATTAAAAATAAATAAATTAAATAGTCATATTTCAAGTCAAAGCTTTTAATCATGTTGGAGAAGCATCAGCCAGAGCACCAAATTTATCTGAAAATCATAAATAATAATGATTACTATTACTCTCTAAATATTCTCTCAAGTCATGTGTTCTGGGGCAAGATACATATGCTGAACTCAGCAACAACACAATGCAGTAAGTAAGGCCATAAGTAATCCTAGAACTGCTTTCTATATTCATCCATATATTTGTTTAAATAATTATGCAAGCAGTGACATAGATTGGCTAGGACTATGTTTACAATAAAGCAAATCCAAAAATTAAATGAATAATTTCTTGGTGTACCCGCTGTAAACTAACCCTAAAATGCAAGTTAAGCAGATTGTGGTCCTATTATTAGCTCTGCATATGAATAGTAATTTTGGTAATTGATTTTTCTAGGTTTTTGTTTTTAACTGTAATCCTCTCTGGTAATAACAATTTTAATTGGTATTTTGACACCATGGTCCACACTCTTTTCCATCATCTCACTGTTTGAAAAAAAGAAACCCCTAACAAAACTGTTGTTGAGACTACATTACCTTAGTTTCATGAACCTTAGTTTCATGAACGTCATTAATTTTCATCACAGTGTCTTAAAGCTAAGAGCCAAAAAATTAGCTGCAATATATCAGGACATGAAAAAATCAGGTGTCTCTTGAGCCTGAATGAAGGAAATCTTTCACTTTTTTTTATGAAGCTGGCCCAGAGGTGATACTTAAGATGAGATGATTTCTCTATTTCCCCATCAAACAGCAAAACAAAACAATCTCTGAATACCAACATGCATTTAATCAGCTGTCTCCCAAGCCAGGCTAAGAGAGGAAATTAGATACTCACTTCACCAAGGAAGTCATTGGAGGAAAATCTATCATAATCCCAGACAGTCACTTCCAGTGTCTTCTTCTTCAGCTACAATTTAAATCAAGAGATAATTAACCCCAATTGTCATCATAAACTTCATCTCACGTCCACACAATAGATTCTATTCGTTATCACTGGCCTGGGCCCTTTTTCAATATGACAGCCAGACAATTTTATCCTTCTATCAACCTTAATCTCAGAAAATTCATTTTGGCTAGAATCTGATAGGAAGACAGATGGGCTTGTACTTGGCACGGCTGGGACTCTCAGGAGATGTTTTTTGCCAGCCTGACTGTGCATCCAGCACAAGGCCCTTACTATGATTTTTAAAAGTTGACAGCGACCATGTTTCTGTATACTATACTTCTGTTCCTTTGTGCAGTTCAGTTGATTGTGCTTAAAATATATGGGACTCAGAGATCTGCCTGTGGCTGAGATCAGTTTGAGTGCGAATTTCAAATTCTGCTTACCAATTTCATTCCCTAGAGCCTCAGAGCAGTCCATAAGCCTCTACATGGAAGTTGGGATTCACCCAACGGTGAAGCCCACCTTAGTGTTCCTGAAACACTGTAGTCTTACAGGAATCTTTACTACTGCTGGCAAAAGAAAAGGGTACAAATACTGTATTAACTAAACCTATGGATGGTGTTAATGGCTGTCATCAGTATGTGATCTACAGCCAACTCCCAACTTCATTAAAGTTGATAGACAGGCTATCCATTCTTCTTTCATGACAAAATTAGAGTGAATAAGCTCCTTTATGGGCAGAGAGACAGAAAGAGGTGGTGACAAGGAAGCTACTGCCCAAAACAATCTCCTGAAAACTGAGAAGAGGGAGAGAGCTCCCTGATGGACAGAACTGGCTGTTTAGGCAGGTTTGGAGATTTTGACCCAAAAAACTGTTTCTACTGTTTATATTTGTTGCTGCTGTGTTCAGGGAAACAGGACTCTGTGCATATTCTTTCACTATAAAAGGGCCTGAACCAAAGAAATGCCTGACTCGCACGATAAATTACAGATCCTAATGGACATAACCTGTCAAAGTCGGTCATTACCTGAATGAATCTGCCTACTGCACAGGCCAAAAGGGTAAGAGCATTACTGAGGCCAGTGACATTAGCCAAACTACAACAACATACATACTACATAGTATTCGTCCAAACCAAGTAGCATTGACCACTCCATAATTCCTCAGTGCTACTTGGCTTAGTGGAAACAGATATTTTAAGCATGTAGAAGACTGTGATTTTAAATTATTATTTATTAGGAATAGCATATCCTCTCTATTAATCTCAGAGACAAGAATAAATATAAAAATTTCCCTTGAAAATTATAATCAAGTGCACCCTGCCAACCCCATACAAAAGGAGTTTTTTAAGACTTTTTGGTATTTACACTACATGTGTTAATAGGGCAACTAGAAAACAACCATTTGAAAGTGGAGATTTAAAAAAGTTTTCATAATTGAGACCAATTCCTTAATTTCTCTCTTTCTAATCCTACCTATTCATGCAACACCTGTTTTCCTACCTATTCATGTACACCACCCTTTTTTTGGAACTATTTTGCAAAAACTTAAACAGCAGGTTGAACAAGAAACTGGACAAAGACAGAAGATAGCATAAAAAGCTTACTGCTTCACTTCTCAATGCCATTTACAAAACTGATGTAAAGCTGATGTCCTTGCCTGAATAAAAATTTCCTGTCCTTTGCCATTCTCCAACGCTTTAAATTGTGACGTTAGAGAAAACCTGCAAAGTGGCTGGGCAGTTACTAGGCAATTCTATCTGTAGTTTCTTGATGTTGGACTGGTCCCTTTACTATTTACTGTTTAAAGTATCCATGGGTACAAAAGAAAGAGAATATATAAAATGGTGTTTCTTCTTTACAAGTTATATAATGGAATGATGGATGCCTGTGACCAGGCAGGAGAGACCAGGTATTTGATGGCCTTTTTGGTAGACATTAGGAGGAAGGAAGTAGAAGTCCAGTGTTTCACATAGCTTTCCTGAGTGAGGCTGGAAATTTTGGGGGAGCTCTGTTAATACACAGTGTATTTCCAGTTCATTTCACAGAGTCCAAAATCTGAAAATAATATAAGTGTTTCACAGTATGTTTAATCTACACGATAAATTGTACTTGAGCCATCACAGACCCCATCGACCTGAAATCTCTCATCTCACAGACTAGGATTTCAAGCACTTGACCCTATGTTGGAACAGCATTTTTGTATTAGCAAGATAATAAGAGAGTTGGAAACTTACCGAATTGTACATTTCTTTGTAGTATCTGTGTTAAGCCTCTTAGTTTAATAAAGCTTTTATTAAGTGCAATGACAATGAAAAGCCATTAAAGGAACTCTGTGAGGCAGGCTGTATGAGATGAGTTTCAAGTACAAGGGAAATTGCTTGTCTGAGGACATATATACATACCACAATTAAGGAACCAGGAGTGTTTGATGGTTAGCAATTTTAAAACTAACCATTATGTATGACAACAACTTGGCCAAGTAAGGTGCTGTTTTAGAACATCTAATCTTAGCTCCTGAAGCCAGTAATTCAAGGCCCAGCAGGGAGTTAAACTGACAATGTGATTTCAAATGATTTTTCTTAATCTGGGTCTGGCTGTCTATGTTTGTGTAACTGGAGAGTTCATTCATGGATAAATGAGCAAATGCCCCTAGGAGAAAAGAAGCAGTTTGGCTCAGCTGAACATGCGCACATTATAATCATGAAAGCATGTTAGCTTGACACAAGTCATGATGAGATGATGGTATATTTAAGTTTGATGTACTAACAGGTGCTGTCTTCATGGTCAGGATTATTTGAATTGTTAAGATGAAATCTTTCCCCAGCTGAGAGAACATTTTCCTACTGACTTCAGTAGGGCTAAGGTGTCACCCCAAACAAGTGTCTCAACATGAAACCAGTGCACAGCTCCTTTTCTATCTGTAGGTGTAGCCAGACGATCTAGACTTCCGTAGCCAGACAATCAAGACTTCTGGCATAACTTGGATAGGCAGGATATCAAGAAGCAGTCCCTTGATGGCAAAACTATACAGTGCATCTTAGTGCACATACAGGACATTTGAATTCTTTCTAGTATAACTTGCTTCATTCTGTATGGTAGAGAGGGAGTGTTTTTATCACATTGATACAAAATTCAACTTTTCCAAAGTAGCTGTGCCGGTATAAGAAGCGCTTTGCTGGTGTAGCATTCTAGGATTCTAATAATACTAGGGGCACCAGTAGAGTCTTCCTATAATAGATACAACTTGTCCATCTATCCTATAAGCTCACCATGATATCAATCAGTGCCTGCTGAGGCAAGTTGCCTGGCACGGGCATAAGGGAATAATCTGAGGAAATACAGAGGAAACTTTTGTTGCACTTATATCATCACCAATTGTTTCAGAAGTTCATATTAGCTAAGTATCCATTGTACTGCAGTTTCCATTTCCTTACTTATTTAATTTTTAGCATAAAAAGTAAATGTGTTTTTACATTTTAACATAAAATGCAACTGTGTGGCTAAGTTATGGATACAGCACTGTATCATTAAACAGAATGTGCAGAAAAACGGAACAAAGGGGAAGGAGAGAAAAAATGTAATAAAACATACATAAAGGATCTGTCCTTTATATAGGTCACCATTTCTTGCCACTTTTTCTTTCAGGGAATATATTCTTTCTGATGTTTAGCAAAGGACGAACTTATTTTGAGCCAGATACAACATTTGTCATTGACTAGCTCTCAAAAAAATATGGGGTTAAATTATGGGTGAGGGGGGAATTTCACAATAGCAAAAGGAGTTTGGTGAGCAGTCCACAGCTTCCAGAAACAGCACACCAAGTTGGCAATTCTTAAATTCATATGAGGTTTGCTCATTCCTGGTATTTATACAAGTGATATGTGCAAGACTTTGTGGTACTGTCATGAATTAACTAAAATATATTGGATTCTCCTTCCATATATATAACCTATTAGCAAATGGAATGTTACATCTCCCCAAATGAATATATGTGTGTAGCCTTTTATTGGCTGGAGTGAATTCACCAAAATAATATATAAGCTAATAAATATTAGCTTTAGCTTAAGCTTAACTTTTTGGAACATATGTTACTTGTACAGAAGGTTCAGAAAAGTGTACCTGCTGACAGTTATGCAGTCGGCGTTCCTTAATGCTTAAAACACAAATTAAATGATTTAAGTAAGCTTCCATGGGAAGTATCTATGTTAGATACTTAGAAGTGTAAATGATGCCACGTGAACTTCAGACTCTACATAACAACCACCATCTAACGGAGACTGAGGAGCAGAGTGATGGCTAAGGTTAATGTCTGTCATTTCTGCATATAATTTTGAATCATCGTATTGTTTATAATTAATATCATCCTAGTAGATGACTCCTGAGGGTGCAGTTAAACACTACACTTAGACCATACTAAGACACTTAAAACACGGGCATCTGCACATTAAAGACAGATAACTTGTGCTAAGTACCCTCTAAGTGTCTCAAAGTTATGCCACTCTGGGTGTGCTACCTAGCTCATCTTAGGGTTACTTCAATCTGCTCCATGGAGATAAAATAAGCAATTTGTAGTTCTCCAACATCCTAGGCTGCATTGCTCCCAGCTCGTTCCTTCAGGGCAGGGATACAGCCTTAGTGTCTTGGTGCTTAGCCATGCCCCTGGTTGCTAACCCTGTAGTGCCAAGTCAGAGCTGTGCAGGCAAGATATAATATTAACTCTTAATGTGTAACTGCTAAGTTTATTCCAACTTTAACAATGCTTAACATTCCAGAGATTTAGTATGGTTGAAGCATAACATGCAACTTCAGCCTCTGCCACAACCAACACTTCCCTATTCAAACCTCACATGGCAGATATCTGTTTCTGGAACTGAAAGCCCTGAGATAGTTTCATAGTTTCTAGGGTCGGAAGGGACCTGAGCAGATCATCTAGTCTGACCCCCTGCCATGGCAGGAAGATTATAGCTCACATGGCATTGCTGGTTATACTGATGTTTGTATAACTAATGAGTAAGCTA